ATCCAGCCATTTTCTTAATTCACAGATCCCACAGTAGCACAATTGACTTGGCATTTGTGCCCGATGAGGGAATGCCATACAAACAGCACAGGTACTATCCAAAAGCCCATACACGCGTGTTTCGCCGATGTTTTGCCGTTGCATGACGCAGCTGCGAGGGGTTCAGCTCGTCAGTGGGTCCCCCCAGTATGGTATCACCTTACCCTAAAGTATACTACTAGCTGCCTGTCGGAAGTTAATGAATCTTACGCGGTTACCCGCTGTGGCTGATGGAATTTGGTCCAAATATTCATGTATAAAATTCCCAGTCTGTGCCTATAGACCTTGAATGAACTGATCTACTCCAACATCGTAGATAATTTCTGAGAAAATTAAAAAGCGACAACTTCTGTCCGAGTTATTAGCTTTCGCTCATGAGGACAGAATGTTTCTGTGCGTTGGAGACTCTCACGGTCGCACAACCGCACTGCCAGGATGCCTCTTAGTCTTTTCTTTTCAATCATTCCGTTGTTCCCAGAAAGCGCGTGATTTTGAGACTGATTAGGCATGATTAACAGTGACTCCGGACCTCCTTGTCTTTGTCGGTAATAACGTTCTGCCTATATCATGCACCGCTGTGCGACTGCCGGTGTGGCTCGAGAGAGAGAGAGAGCCCGTAAGACACAACAGGACGAGTGAGTTCCGTAAGAACGATAGGTAAGCGCCCCCTACCATTGTATATTCCCGATCGAAAACCGACAGGACGAAGAGCTCGTGGCCTAATGATTAGAGGCGTTGGACTCCTAACTACCAGGTCGCGGGATTGAGTCTCTGGTGTTCCACCCTTCGGGGCGTTGGTTATGACGGCTAATAAGTCGGAAATGGCCATTCCAGTATCCCTTGTCTTTGTCCGTAATAGCAAAATTAGGTAAGTTTTGTCATCACCTACTTCTGGGCACAGGCTGCCCCAATCTAGACGGATGCATCATTGAAGTCCACCCGTCCGACTTTTAACTGAAAGTGTGCCTTACCGTCTTTTCTCGTTCATGAGGTACTGTCATCGTTTCCCCTGCTACTGAATTTAAGTCAGCAACTTTCCAAGGATACCAGGAGAGTCCTTACGACAGCCGCTTGGCACATTCTTTAAATGGTTAGGGTGTGTGTTAGGTCAGTGTCATCGTATCGTCAATTTAGTGCATATAAGAGGTCTGTCTCGCACTCCTCCAGCAAAACAGTCGCCTAGACTGATCAGGACCTCGCCCTGTAAGTCTAGCAGACGGCAATATCGATCAACTTTCACACAGTCGAAAGGTTATATGCCTCCCATGCTTCCAGCGAGTTTGATGACCACTTTCCGCGTAATTTGCTGTCGCCTTTTCTCGCGTGTTTATCAATTCCTCCCCCCC